TTTCTACAGAGTAATTCATGAAATAAAAATCTTCTCCATTAAAACTCACTTTTTTGACCGAATCATGAATATCAATTCTAATTAAAAAGTCGAAATTTTCGCTATCATTATCAATATGGATTTTATTTTATGATAATAAATAGAAAACTCAGGAACAATACTAATTGATGAGGTTTTATTTAATAGGAATAACTGTATACATTGATTAATAGATTCTCTGCGTTGCGTTTTTTATTGACATTAAGCGCAAAATGTTACTTGATCATGTATCTGGTTCGCAGAAACATTAAATCAAACATACAAACTCTGAAATAACAAACATTTGAAAAGAATGATTTCATAATATAAGTGATGCATGGTATACACATATATTACTCATTTATTACTGTTTATAAAATCATCACACCTGTTTAATATCCTCTTTGTTTTTCAATTTTCATAACCCAAGTTCCTAAATAAAGTTGTTTATATTGACAATTTAAGTTTGCCTAAATGTCTTTGAATAAATATTTTTTTGTATTTTGAAACAGCAAATGTTTATCATATTTTGTCAATTTTAACTCAAAGTTTTTATCTTAACCGTTGGTGGTGATACAAAATTTATTCACCGTTGTATCATGAATAATTTTTATTTCATGAAAAGATTTATGTTGAGATGGTAAAGATTTACAGCTTAGGTAGATGATTTTGATGGAATTTTGTTCTCTATCCAGTCTAGAGAAAAAAACGTCATCAAGATTTCTGTTGAATATAGATTTTTAAACAATCTAATCTACAGTTGTTTTTTTTTAGATTAAATTATATGATTTGCCAAGAAAATGTATTTTGTGATTAGCTAAAAAGATTTGATAACTTCTATGAATTCTGCTGTATTATTGTTCAATTCATATATATTTAAAGACTAGACCTTTGCTATTTCATAACTGATTAATTAATGAAAGAATAAAGACAGATAATAATTCATTTACTAATCGCTACATTAAACAATCCGTTATTATCTATCTGACAGAATTACTCTCTTTTTGTCTAAGTTTTTTTAAAAGTAAATAAAATCATAAAATAATTCATTTTAGCGTTGTCTCTCATTTTGATTTTACTTATTTATTTGTTTGACTGAATTTTCATTGTTTAATATTTGAAAATAAATAGCCAATTAACTGATATACAGGAAGTGGATTATTGAAATATAAAAAATGGATAACTATAATGCTTCTAAAGAAAAAATAACTACCAGAAAACTATTAAGTATGGTAACTATAGTAACCGACGGAGGAAATAAGTTTACTATTCATGAATAAATAACAGATAATGCTTTATTTATATTTACTTTTTAATAGGAAATGAAAACAGCATGAAGTAGGAGGTAAGACACCCGAATTCTTTATTCCACACAATTACCTGTTTACAGCAATTTATATTGTGCACAGTTTGAAATCATTAGATTATTAATATAAGTATAGCTAATTCATGTATGAGGAATTTAAGTGTCAAGATCAATAAGCATTGAATAATCATTTTTTGCCAGTTTAGTACTTGACAGTATTTCAGAACCTGTACTCAGAAAAGTTATATTTCATAGCTTAACAGATCAAAAAAAGGTCAGCTTCGGTATCTTTTGGAGTATGGATGTTTAGGAAAGATAACTGATTAATTACTTAAAAGTTAAACCTCCTCATATAAGCACGAAAACCATTTGAATTAAAGGTCAGCTTAGCTTTTAACTAGACGAGTTTTAAATACAAACTGATAAATTTCATGCACGAAATCACTCATATTGAATAACCTTAATAATATATAGTTCCAAAGTATCAAATTAATCACGGATTTTGTCGATGACTTTAGTAACTAATAAACGATGATAACGTATAAGCAAGTGTAAATATGGTTAGTACAGTCAGTCAGATATTATTCAAATTTGGCCATTATTAAGAAAATAAACAAAGTAGTAAGATTTATTTTACATTCCTTAAGCACTATACTTCAGAAAATGAGTTTAAATCATAAACCAAATATAAAATGCATTGTCTAATAGCGACACTAAAAACAAAAATAATTACTGAGTTCATTAACACAGAAAATACTACTGATACTTCAATGTGTTTATGAAGAATATTCTTGTATAGTTACCGATGATAATGATACAAATTTTAGAAGACATACTAACTAATGTTCTAATTTACAGATAGTATTATTTTAACATTTACAATATGTCTGAATGGCTTGATTTGTTTTGAATGGATGATACTTTTCAGCAAGGACTGATATTATATAGAAAACTACTAAAACATAATGAGCATTAAATTGATGTCTTTTTTATATATGAACTTCTCAAAAGTTCCTATAATCGAATCTTGGTGATCGAAAAATCAACTAACCAAAAAATTGAAATCCAGTGGTTAATGTATCTACATTTAGTCAGTTCGTAGGGATGAACGATGTTTATGTAATCCTATCGGTAGCAATTCCTTCGTTACCCACTGATGTGGATTTAATTATTATGACAACACAAATAAACAGATAGGCTAGCATTCAATATTCCTTCAGCCGAAAATGCGATCTTATGTTCAAACTAATACTTAAACTCAAAATACTAAGCACTACGCACTAATCATAGGTAGATTTACACAATTTTAGATTTAAGATATATTTCCCTTGTTCTTAGTAATATGTAAAATATTATTTTGTTGAAATCTACTATAAACGATGACCAATTCCATATTCTTAAGAAAATGCTTAAAGATATAAAGTATTCCTGAAATCCTTAGCTTTTTCTATATATATTTAGAACTAATAGGACAGAAATATATAAACTTGGAAATGTATGAATGTACAAATCATATACATTTCATTTCAATATGACACGTCAATAAACTATAGTTCTATGGGCTGGATGGTTTGGTCGTGGGGCTTTCATCGTTCTTCTGAACGACATTATCAGCACAAACTAAACCCTCCAGTCCAGAGAACAAAAGTCCATCAAAATCATCCACCTGAGCTACAAATCCTCTCCACCATCACAATATGACATCTATTTGACGTCATATATGGTCTTTGTTGTGTGATATAGACATTTCTGCAAATTATTCTACAGTGTTACATAAAAGTAACAAAAATGACAAGTCACTAAATTACTAAGAATAATAACAATAATAATTTTTATTATTCCAGTGTCATAAAGGACATATTAATCTCCATTTAAATCAGGATAAAGTTTTGATTTAAATGTATCTTGGTTTGTATAGTTTCTACACATTTGACAAATGAAAAGGAGATTTTGTTCATTCAAAATGTTACATCTTATAAAAGTCCTTAATCATAGTGTGATTCAGCATATCTTATAGATATCTTATAATCCTAATTGATAAAAGACGATAATAATTTATATTACAAACACTAAAATATTCTAGTACTATTACATGGTTATTCAGTTTTAAAATAGTAGTAGATTTATTTATTTATACAATTCCTCTGTTTTAACAATGATAACAGTTTCATTTTAACTTACTAGGAACTTAGCTACATCATCGCAAAACGAAGTTTACATAATCGTTGTATCAGTAAAGTTATCTGCTAAAATTAATGTATCGATTAAACTTGCAAACTTAAAGAAATTCAAAATCCCTGGGTGACTATAACTTTTTGTATCTTACCGAATAAAGTTTCACCTACCATATCGACTGATAAACTTGACATTCTATATTATTTCACAAAGCAAATTGTAATTCTTGACTAGAAAGAAATGAGTAATAACAAAAATTAAGAAAGGTAAATAAAATCCATTTCATACTTTATGAATGCTTACTTTTAGTAATATTTCAGTATTAGTAACAGAAAAAAATCACCGTTGTGTATTAAACTAACGAATTAGAAATAAAAGGTGACAAATTTATAAACCTGTTGTCGCATTTTTTAACGGCTTCTTATTTTCAAGATGAAAGAACTAAATAGTTGTATACTGAATAACATAAAACAAACAATATAACTCATTATTTTCAAATTAAAGTTATATTGTGAACGTTTTCGAAATCAATTTGTTGATCATCATTCCTTATATCTTATACAATTGTGTACTTGTTTTACATTAAGCAGGTCAGTTATGCCTTAATTTTTATTAAATCTAATAGAAACTATTTTCAGATGAGTCAATAGAAATACGATTTTAAGTGGATGAGATCATAAGTTTCATATCCCTTATTTTCAGTGCCGATGAATAAAAATATCTAATTTTTAGTATGAGGTTGTGGAAACTATTGAATTTTATTAAAATCATGATCCAATCTAAGTCAAACCACCACTGGACGTCCTTGTCGCCCTAGTATAAGATCCTTTAACTTAGCGCATCCACTATTTCGCAATAAAAATCAATACAGTGATGATATGAAATAAATAAATAGTTATAAATATAGGTTTGAAGCAAAAATTGTTACAAAGAGGACTGAAGACATTTGGCTGATTAAAAAGTTTATATTGAATATAAATAATTTCACTGTGTTCTTTGGATAAATTTGTTTTACTAAGCTTCTGAACTTGTTTGTTTATATCATTATTTTCGGACATTTTGGTTTCTCTTTATCTTTGGTTTGGTATTTGAGAGTTTTTGCTCCGGGGACCTACAAAATTACAGGTCTGTTTTGTAATTGTTATAATTATTATAAGAAGGATATTTAAGTCGACTATTTGTAAATTGCGAATAAACCTTGGTACCTGAATTGGAGCTTGGTTCTACTGCTAATTTGGGTTCGTAAATTGCAAATAGATCGATATACCATACTTTATTAACGAAAGATAACAAAAACTTGAACGTAACAGGTATAGTGTTATCATAGTAGCTAAATATTTCAGTTAAAGCGAATGGTATTGAACATTTTATTTTTTAATAGTTTATCAAAACTCACTTCAATTATTTAAATCCGTTATTTCGGTGACTTTATTTTTTATATCAGTCATACATTTTAACCGTCAATACAATTACTGATGTTATCTCTTTTAAATCATTTTAGCTAACTGTAAGACAGAACAAATTTAATAGTCACACACCGATCAAATTCATCAATACTGAATTCGATTAATGAATGGTTTACCTTGAAAACTGAGTGAACGTTTGCACGTCTGTCATTATTTTATAATACCATTTCGAATAATTTAAAACAATGATCATACTATCAATGAAAAGAAGGTACAATCATTTGTTGGTATTACTATCATTGACAGTTTATGTATCTAGGCAATCAACAGTTAGTTCGGGTAAGTCCTCACGACATTATTAAAGTATAATTTGTGGAGACTTGTTTAACATGAAAATAATTTTCTTTTGTAACTGTTCTAAATAAAGAACTATTGAGAAATATAGCTTATTCTAACAGCGGTTTATTTCATAGTTTTAGTTCATTATATTTTGCAAAGCTTATAATGTTGTTTCATTATTGAGTCAAGCCTTAAAAGGTAATATCGCAAATTTTCAGTTCCTTCAGGCAGAAGTGTTTTTAAACCATCAGCTTTAAATTATCTTTTTGTTTCATATGTGAATTATATTTGAAATGTTCTTGGAATTCTTTGATTGTTAAAATGTCAAGATACAAGAGTAAATAAAATTCATATAAATAAACACTTTCATACATTGCAGACTGATGTAAGCTACAGAAAATTTGAAAGGTAAGAAAAATAGACGGCTGTTTCCTTTATTTCCGATTCTACAGCAGTTTTTCTCAGCAACTCCACACTACCTCGAGCCCTGATCCTATATGTAACACCGTGATTACGGTACCCTAAATCCACTGATTTAGAATTCAGTGTTTTATAGCTGATGCGAGTTGCTGAAAAAAACAACTTCAGGCTAAAATGACATCACAAATCATTATTTCAATACAGCTTGTTTCTTAAGTTAATTACATAACTTCTGCAATTAATAAACAATGAAATTTTATTTTAGATTTATTTAGGAATTATAATATTTTTTTGATGTTAACATTACTTGTTAAGTAAAGAATAACAAGTGAAAATTAACAACAACAAAAAGTGAACAGTTTAACTTCCATTTTTATGTGTACCTTATGTTGAGTGTTTCCTGATTTATTATTAGACAATAAAACTGAAGCATGTTAATTCTTTAAACAGGAAGGAAAAAGAAGAACATTCAGTTTTGGATAAAACTACAAGTGTCTAGACAATTCATTGTATTTTTCTAGAAAAATTATTTTAAATAAAGTCAGTCATGAATAATACAGATTAGTCTTTAATGAAATATTACAACATCAATTTATCTAATCTTAATGTTAGCCAGATATATTAACATTGTCAGTAGTTTACGAAAGATCAATTTCAGTATCATAAAAAACAATAAGTATTATTAACGATGGATAAGTTGAAGTTAGATATTAACACCGTTGGATGCCGGCTCAGTGGTCTAGTGGTTAAGTACTGATAAGTCCTGGGTTCGAATTCCGAGAGGTGGGGTGGTGGATGCACACTGCTAAACGGTCCCATAATATGACTAAACGGCCATCCAGTGCTTCCAGGTTTTCCATGGTGGTCTAGCTTCAATTGACTCATGATCTCAACTATTGAAATCATTACAATCTCCACAAAATTCCGTCAGATAAATAATTGCCTAAAGTCATTATATATATATAATTCTGAACTTGGTTTTTAAAACATTTTATTGAGATATGAATGTAATCGAACTAGAAGCATTTTACTTCATCGAAATGTTAACATCACTAATACTTTATTCTTTGCTTCGAATCTTGAAGATACTTGTTGTATTTTATTATTTAACACCATGAAGAAATTAATAATTTTTCAAAAAGTTTAATTCTTATTCCCTTAATCTTTGTAATAAATTGAACTTTTAGATTGGTAATCAGATTGAAATCTATGTGTTTATTCATCAAATGGATATGAGCTTGAAGTAGGAGATCTTCAATTATAGATATTGATAATTAAAATTCTCAGAGGAATCAAGTTAGTATAATCTGAGTATCTTGTTTAGTAGTAATTACTCCGTAAATAAACAAGTCATTCAATTTATATTAGTTGAAACAACAACACATAAATAGATAACACTTATTATTAACCATAAAGAGTTATTACATAAAAGTGAGGTTCAAAAATAGCAAACTATATCTTTAAATAATTTCAGAAGAATATATTTAATGTTGTTATAGGCAGCATAAAAATAGTGTTGATTTTCCTTGTGCAATTTTTTGTTGCACTGAACGTCAGAACCCATAATTTTATAACTAATGCTGAGGATGAAAATAATACTTGACTGTTATATTGCAAGTTTAGAAACCAGCTTTATTATTACATCACTTTTACGTATTCTGATCAGCGTGTCACTTTAGTAGTGTTCAAGTATTTCTTTACTCCAAGATGAGTTGAATTAATCGTAGTCGTAATTGTACTTGAAACTTATATTAAAGTTACATATATATGGTGAATCATTTGAGTGTTCTGAATACAGCATTTAGTTCATGTAATTAATGTTAAAATAGTTAAGTGTTGCGTTTGGGTGTGAATTAGCATAAAACACTTCTCTGATGCATTTGAGTACAGGTAACAATCACAGTGACGAATGAAATACACTCCTGTACTTTGATATTCCTACAGATAAAATTAATTCTCTGCTCATTACTAAGTTTTCAAGTAATGCAAAAATCAGATGAGCATTAGGGCGAACGAAACATTAATCCATCGATATAAATATTTATAAGTAGTATGTGTACGTAATCGTAATGTAACAGACCGATTATCAAGAAAATGAGGAATTATCTAGTTTTATGACTCTCAAAGTCTACAGCGTTTCACGTTAATTCATCTGGAAAAGTGGTACTTTATGAGATTTTAATATTTTACGGAACCTATCACTCAAAATAAATATTCTTTGGCAAATTAACGAAATTTCATAACTGCCTAATTAAGAAAATACTTGATTACGAAAAATTCAACCTTAACGTATAAATGATAAAAAGGTCGCTGATTTATTGTTCCCATAGTAACTTTTATTTTTGAATTATTCTACTTTAATTATCTATTTTATTCATGTCATATGTGTGACAGACTTCTATAAAATTGCATAAAACGTTCAATCTCTCTAAGCAATCAATACATTGACTAATGTTTTTGATTTTCTGATGTAAGATAATTTTTATCTCATACCCATTTTATATCCATTCAAAACTTTTGTCTAATAATCTTTTATGCAAGTTGCCTAAGTGACAACGCTATATCACTTGAATTGGTTACGGTCAATAACCTTATTTATTCAAAGTTTAGTTTCCTTTAAATCAAATCAATACATTTTGTGGATTTGACTACGACTATGGAGAACTATCGGAAATCCATAAAACAAAATGTATTTCAGTTAATTAGTTTCATCCTTCGTTTAGACGTACAAAGAGAACAAACAACACGAAACTTCTCATCTCATATTTTGTACGGTTCAAAATTACAAGTTTAAATAGATACGTGAAGAATTATTTAGTTATAAATGACAAATTAAGATTAAGTTTTTATGGGATCCATAAATCATCAATTGGTTATGCTATGCAAATATTCTTAAGGTTTGATCGATTGATTTGTATTTTAGCAACTTATTCATGTAATACGAATGACGCATATGAATTCTTACTATCATATTTAAGAAAAGAATATAATTTTAGCAACGACAAGTAGCATTTATCCAAAAACATCTTCAGATGCAGTTAAAACGTAATAAGAATGTACATATGAGGATCAGATAAAAATAATTAAAACTAACAAATTCAGAAGTCCTGAAAATCACAGGAAGGAAATTTTAATTATCACAAGATAATTGGAAAATAATTTTAAACTGAAATTTATATGAAGAAGCATTTCGAAAATGTCGATTGCTTTATGAAAGATTAATACTACTTTTAATGTTTACTCGGTACAACATGAAAGTGCACAGTATTATCGTGGTTTCGACAGGGTTGAAAGAGGAATATAATCAGCTTCATTTTAATAATAATAATAATTTATATTCTGAAAAATAATAATTAAAGAATTAACGCCAGATTACAGGCATGATCAATTTGGTATAAATAGTATCATCATATGTACAGAACAAACATGTGATAGGAGTTTTAAGGTTACTAGTTCGGTAATTGTTTAGGTAATACATGTTATCACACCTGGTTGTCAATAGTTACACTGCGGATACAATTAAAACATTTTGGTAATTTTTTCTTATTCAATCGTATTTGGCTAATGTGTTTTAAAATCACCTCTTACATATAAGTAGGAGTTGAGCCATTAACCTTAAGGTTTTGTATTAAAGAAAGGCCTAAGTAACTCTACATTTTTAGCACAGTCAGGTGATTCATAAAACGATATCGACATGTTTCATTCTTTTCATATCTGATCTCCGTTACTCATATATTTGAACTTAGATTATTCATAAACTTTACGTTGTGTTATTACATAATTTATGATAGGTATCACCTCTGAAGAGGTGGTTTACATTAAGTCACGAAACGTTGGAAATACAGTTTTCCTACTCATAGGGATATAACAAAAATATATTTATTTATCATTATCCATGAATGTTTATAATTTGATATTGATCTTAATTTTAGATGCCTATTAAATCTCACTGAAATCATCAATAAGTTTACATTCGACATATTTAAAACAAAGACAAATATAAAATTTGTAGTTTTGCTGATAAACGAGTGACTGTATTTAGATGTTATTTTTATCATAACGAAGCGAAATGCATAAGATAAACATTTTGAACATGTCAGTGGTATATCGAATAACGTCAAATTCAGTGAGGAGATTAAATTTTTATCATAATCAAGGATTTCTTGACTGGCTGGCTGAAAAAACCGAATAAATATTTGAAATTTGGTATTCTTCGAAAGCCGATGTGTTCTAAATGGTTTCTAGGTTATATGCCAGTGTAGACTTTACCAAAAGATGTGATAGTTGATAAAAATCTAAAAAAACAGAGTTTATAATGTCGTTATAGAAAACTAGACAAAAAGACAAAACTAAATCTAGCCATATCTGCGCCGAATATGAATACTTATCTTGCGAACTATGTAAAAAAGAAAAATTGAATTGAAAGACTGAGAAACAATGAGAGGTTCATCATATGAATTGGTCAATTATTGTCAGAATTCAATATGGAGGAATACTCGAAGACATCAATGAACTCAATATAAACAAGATATCAAAGTATGTTTTCAAACGAACAATACATGCAACTTAGCATTGTTGGA